CAGTTGTGATCTGCTCATTGATTATATTCATGTATTCTTTCAGCTTTTCGTCAATCATGGCTGCAATCTCGGCTTGATTGGCCATCCTTCTTTTGGTCACCGATCGAGTATTATGAGGATGAGGGGGATCCGTGGCAAATTACCCGCAAAAGCAACAAGTGGAATAAATACGACAAGTAAGAATAACGAGTCGGTCCATGACATCCTCTAGACCCTCAAGATGAAATTTCTTTCGAACGACCGATTCGTCCAGTAAATCCCGAAATTCCAAATTGCTTTATTCAATAAAAACCTGGACCGATTCCAAAATTTACAAATTATAGCTCAACGTTTTTCATTGAATTGCTCAAAATGGAAAATGTCTCAAAAGAATTCTTATAAAAATCGTTCAGCAACATTTATTACCAAAAAACATCAATAGCATGAAGTACAAATGTAAGCTAACATTCCATCTTAAAAAGAAAGAAAAACTCCCTAAACCAAACTAGAAATCAGATAGTCTTCCTCTTTTTAGAGGCTACGTGATCTATAGATGAATGGGCCTTCAAGGCGCGCCGTAATCGTGCATTCTCTTCAGCCAGAGCATCTGCCTTATCCTAGGCCTTCGTCGCCTTTTCTTCGCTGATTTTGATTTGAGTCTGAAGGGTATGCCGTACTGTCACGACCGGGATCTTCGGGAGTATCTCAGCAGGGATGGTATGATGCTGAATATACCGGGCTGTGGCAAAGTGACTTCTCATCCTTCCGGTGGGCTCATCCGCGGGCCAAATCAGCTTCTGAGTGGAACAATTCTGCCAAGCCTCAGAATGACGCCTAAGCTCGACTCTGTAGGACTCGTCCTTCTCGAACTGGACTTGAAATTCATTGGGCCTGAGTGGAGGTGGGACACCCTGCAGAACTCGGAATTGACGTGTAACTTGAAGGGGCTGATAGCAGGTTGCCCCATAAATGCCCATCAAAGGTACGGGCTTCTGATCGCCATGGTATAATCGAGCCTCAACCTCCCGAAATCACACAGCTTGCCAAAGGAAAATCTTAGAGCTTGGATCCCTGAACAGATGGACCCATTGTGTGTAGTGCAAGCTCTTAGTTTGATCTTGTATTTGTTTGAACCTTAAAATAGGGTTATCAGTCATGTCCATTTCAAATACAGTCATATTTTCCCCAAATTGAGAAAGGTGTGAGAAAAGCCAGATTTGTAAAAGCTCAATCGGGGCTCGAAAAACTCTATCTTTTCCTTTCTTGAATCGTGTCAGAGACATGAAAGTTTTTGCCAGAATTGTGTTTATAAAACTAACTCCACCACATATTTGTTTTACCATCCTAGCTATCACCGGATCAATAGCATTTTGACGGAATGGAAAAACGATGAGTCCAAAAAAAACTAAGATAAAAATTTTAGATCTCACGTGGACGGAGTTATTTTCGAAACATTCAATAAGAAAAGATAATGGGCATGCTTGACAATTACCCTTTAGCACTTTTTCAATTTCCTTTTTAGTCAAATTCAAAAATTCAGCAAGCACTACCACAGGATCTACCTTAATGGGTGGTTCGACTATATCCAACTCAATCGATTTCCCAATGGCAATACTGTATTCTCCCAGAGTCGGTGTGAGCTCAAACTTACCTCCCAACACAAATGTGGTTGTCTCGGGGCACCAAAAATGAGCAAGTGCCTGCATGATCCCACTCTGAACATCTATGTCTAGGATTGGCAGTATGAATCCAATGCGCTTGAGAATGTACTACTGACCATCTGGCTTCAACTGGCCCCATAACTTCTTGAGCTCTAGCTTCGGAGTAGGCACGAAACGGATATCGAGGCGACCCATTCTTATATAGACCACGTGCCAAATGACTCAACCTAAGTCAAGGACCGACTCAAAATAAGATGAAGAAAACCAAAGATAAAGCTCGAGAAATTACCGTCTTTGGGGAAAAAATGTCAATCACAGAGACATGCACATGAATCGTGAGTTTAAATCTTAATCTATCTATCCTAATGGCTTTTGCAAAGTGAAATGATGAACGAAACGACACGTCGCAGCCTCGCGTACAATCATCATGACTAGTCGCGGCCTCGCATACTGTAGTCATGACTAGTCGGGTCCAATCACTTCGGCTTGGTTCGGTCGACAAGGGTAACCTCCATGCATTGTAGCCTCACATGCATGAGGACGACCCTTGAGCCATTTTTTGAAAAAAATTTCGGAATCCAAATGGGATAACCTTTAGCGAAGTCTTACCGCCAAGGTTAAAGAACCATCCAAATACCATCTTAAAACTATGGGTGTGATCCAGGTCCGGTCACGGGTTGTGTGTGGTGTAGTGCAAATACTGTAAATCATGCACAACAATTATATGCAAACACCACTTCAATAGTACAAAAATTAAATCACAATTCCACTCCACCAAGCCTGCAAAACAAAGGGTTAGCCAATCACTACTCCCCTTATAACTCCCATCCTGCAAAACCATTTAACACCTAAGAATGAGAATCCAATCAAATTTTGTCAAATCGAGTGATTTTTCCATAAAAATTTTTGGCCTAAGTCCTCCTTAAAATTTTTTTTAAAAAAATTAAAGTTAATCTCCCCAGCAGAGTCGCCAAGCCGTCGCGACCTAAAAAAATCGGGTTTTCCGATTTTTTGGGCTAATGGATTACTAGATCAATTAAATTAACTAACCTAGCTCGAGTTCTCCCAAACTCTACCAATTCGCAACTTAGGTCCAATTATGAGCATGCAAATATTTTCAATGGGAGTCGCCACTAATCATTTAAGGTAGGTTGATTAGAAACCTAAATAAAATAGCGGGAGTACTATTTTATTTCTGCGAACCAGAAATTATGGATTCGGGGACTTGGTTACGCTAGATTCCCTAATGCCCTTTCGGTACCAATTTCAAGAAAAATACTTAATTTGACAATTTTGATAAATCCTGACTTAGAGTTCAAAGGTGCAGAAATTTTCTTTTTTGATTTTATTTATTTATTTAAATGAAAGCTAACCTATATGTAATGGCGTGCAAAAAATTGACATGCGATTAATGCAACCTAACATGCAAACTATATGTCATGCGACGACGTGACCTATTTCTAATGACGGGCATGTTATTTTTTTGTATTTTTTTTCTTTAATGAAATTCGGAATTAAAAATGCCAATTATCTAAACATGCAATTTTAAACTAAAGAAATTAACCTATTCTAGAGTAATATTTTTGGCATTTTTTTTTATCAAAATTCGAAATTAAAATCAAGTAAAAAAAATATAACGGCTAAATCTTTCGAATTAAGTTTCGATATGAAGCCTGACAGATCGATCCTAAAATTTGAAATACCCGCTATGGAAATAACTCTATCTAAAGCCTGATAGATAGATTTATTTCCACGTGTGTGGTTGCGGATTAGGAAATTTTCCTAATCGATCACATCTTGAAAAAATTTAGATATCTCAAATATCTTGGATATATTAAAAGGATTTTGAAAATTCCAAATTCTATCCAAATTTGATAACATCAGATATCCAAGATTTCAAAAAAAAAAAGGAAATAAATCCTAATTGAAATATTGCCTATTATCTAAGTATGCAAGATTAGATATCATTAAGCACAAATTAGGTAATAAAATATTCAAATCAAATCGGGATAAGATAATTACCTGATTTGCAGATTTCTTTCCTAATTTGAATTTGCAGCGGATCGAGATTGTGACCGGTGGTGCGTCGGGAGCGGCGACGTAACGTCGGGAACAGTGGCGGTGCACGAGCAGCGGTGCACGAGCGATGGCACAGCGTCGAGAGTAATAGCGGTGGTGTCTCGTCGGTGTTGCTCACGGACAGCAGGATTGTGTTTAGTTGGGGACCTCCACGGCTTGGACTGGTTCTCGGCCGAGAGTGCTCTCGGTGGGCTTGGATGCTTAGCCGATTATGGTGGCTGGTTGTGACGCTTTAATCACAAAAGAATCAAGACTGCTCAAGAACTCACTGGACTTCCTGGAAATTCGCTGCTTGCAGTTGCTGTTGATTGGTCGCTGGATAGAGAAGAGACGAGCAGGAGCCGTCACGTGAAGGTGGAGATCATCAGGATCAGCTGGGCTGCTGCTTCGGGGACACTAGGAGGGAGCAACGTTAGCAGAAAGGTGACAAAGTCAACCTCTTGGACTCACGGGTTCAGCCTTCAACTTGGACAAGTCTTCAACTGGGCAGGAGAAGCGACTAGTCTTATGCTTCGGGAAGATGCTTCGCTGCAATTGCAGATTCAGCGATGAAGACTTGCTGGTGTTGCTCACGGTGGCCGGTTGGAGCAAGAAGTTATCCTGCGGCGTTCAAGGTGACCACGAGGGAGAGCAGCACCGCTGGGGATAAACTGCAGAGTCCTTTGGGCGCTGCGAAATAGCAGCGGCAGTGACTCGGGCACGGCAGAGGGGCAGCGTGGACGCAGCGGATGCACCCGTACGCAACCGACTCTCTCTCTTTCTCTCCCTTTTGCTATCTCTAAAAATCTGATTTCTGAAATTATGAAAGCTCCCCCCCAGATTATGAGACATAAACATATATTTATAGTGTAAACCTAGGTCAATTAGCCGGGCTTTCTAGTCCTAATGGGCTTAGGTTTAGGCTTTAATTTAATTCTAAGTGGGCTGAATTAATTTGGGCTTTTCTTTAATTAAGCATAATGGGCTAATTTAAGCTCAAATTAAGACAACCAAGCCCTTTTGCGTGTGATTTTTGGCCCATGCTTTCCGAGTGAGCCGAGTCTTGTTTGGTGCCCGAGCTCGATTTACGTGATGAATTTTAAGCTCGCTTACCACCGCCGATCCGATGCGAAATGTAGTTAATCTATATGAACCTAAACTTTATGCTATGCGATTTGTAATATTTTTGTTCAGGGGTTAAAATTTAATCCCTAATTTTCTATGCAATTAACCACTAAATGATGCGCCGAAATTTTGGTGTCAACACAAGCTCAAGCTCAACCAGTGGTGGCAAATAGACAGATGCACCAGCTGGTAGAGCAGTTTCTCAAATTGAAGTCGCCCAAGTTTACGGGCCGAGGTGACCCTGAAACCGCCCCACGTTGGGTGGAAGAGTTGGAAAAGGCATTCAATTTACTGGGATGCACCGAAATAGAGAAGATTACTCTGGCAACGTATCAACTCCAGGACAATGCTAATGACTGGTGGAAGGCCATCAAAGACCGAGTGTTTCCCGAGGGGGCAGACCAGACTTGGACTGCATTTGTTGAGAGTTTTTATGGGCAATACTTTTCAGAGAGTGCCCAGGAAAAGAAAATGGCGGAGTTCATGAGACTTCGTCAAGGATCAATGACGGTAGTCCAGTATGAAGCAGAATTTGCGAGACTATCGAGATTTGCTCCGAGAATGGTGGAAAATCCACTGAACAAGGCTCGAAGATTCCAGGATGGTTTGAAACCGGATCTTCGTACTCAGATGCTCCTGCTGAATATTCGAGATTATAGAGAATTATATGAACGAGCCCAAACGATGGAACGAGATCAGATGGATAGAGCAGCTGCATCTAGGTCACGGTTTGCTCAAAATCGGGACAATCGCCGCTTTGGTAAGAAACCAATGACGGGTAATAGGCGATTTGTTCCACCGCCTAGGAGGAACATCGGGAAACATAACTAGCAATCGAACAGATTTGGAGCTTGTTTTAGATGCGGGAGCTTGGAACATCAGGTTAGAAGCTGTCCTCAACAGCGCCCTTCAGGACCCCCGATGCAACAACCACCTAGAGTTGGGAATCAAGCCGGGAATGCCCCACCGGCTATTCAAGGAAGACCGCCTGCACAAGGAAGGGTCTATGCAATGGCATGTAAGGATACTGAGGATGCGCCGGGCGTGGTCACAGGTACTATTTCTCTCTGTGATCATGCTGCATATGCGTTATTTGATCCAGGGGCGACCCACTCATTTATTTCAGAGCAGTTTGTTAGGTTGGTTGGTATTGAACCAGTATTGCTTGAAAATATGCTCTGCGTGTCGACCCCACTGCATGATAGGGTGTTAGTATCGATGGGGTGTCTTGACTGTAAAATTGTGATTGGAAATAGAGAAGAAAGAATTGATTTGGCTATATTGGCCATGTATGATTTCGATGTGATCATTGGCATGGATTGGCTGATGAAACAGAAAGCCGTTATGGATTGTGGCAATCGGATGATCCAATTTAACCCCATTGGACATCCTAGGTTTGAATTCCAGGGAAACCGAGGAGGAACCTCGATCCTTGGATTTCCTCGTTTGAGGTGACTAAGTTGCTTGATGAAGGTTGCGAGGGATATCTGGTGAATGTAATGGATCCGATAGTGGCGAAACCTAATTTGGAAGGAATACCCGTAGTATGCAATTTCCCCGAGGTCTTTCCTCAGGAATTGCCGGGTTTACCGCCTGAACGAGAGGTGGAGTTTGTGATTGAACTGGCTCCTGGGACAGAGCCGATTTCAAAGGCACCATATCGGATGTCCTTATCAGAGTTGAAAGAGTTGAAGGTCCAGATGCAGGAATTGCTAGATAAGGGGTTTATTCGTCCTAGTGCGTCTCCGTGGGGAGCGCCGGTCCTGTTTGTGAGGAAAAAGGACGGGACGTTGAGACTATGCATAGATTACTGGCAGTTGAACCAGGTGACTGTAAAGAACAAATATCCACTGCCAAGGATCGACGACCTGTTCGATCAGCTACAAGGAGCTTCAGTGTTCTCCAAGATCGACTTACAGACAGGGTATCACCAGTTGAGGATCCGGAAGGAGGAGATACCTAAGACCGCCTTTAGGACGAGATATGGGCACTATGAGTTTACAGTGATGCCCTTCGGCTTAACGAATGCCCCTGCAACTTTTATGGACCTGATGAATAGGGTATTTAAAGAATTCCTGGATCAGTTCGTCATAGTGTTCATTGACGATATACTGGTGTATTCGAAGAGCCCGGAGGAACACGAAGTACATTTGACTAAGGTACTACGGACCCTGAGGGAGCACGCACTTTACGCCAAGTTCAGTAAGTGTGAATTTTGGCTTAGTAAAGTAGCATTCCTTGGACACATAGTTTCGGGAGACGGAATCTCAGTAGACCCGACTAAGATCGAGGCAGTACTTAAGTGGCCTAAACCAACGTCCGTGACGGAAATTAGGAGTTTCTTGGGATTGGCTGGCTATTATCGATGTTTTGTGGAAAGATTCTCGTCAATAGCCATGCCGCTAACCCGATTGCTTAAGAAGGAAGTCAAGTTTGAGTGGGATGATAAGTGTGAATGGAGTTTTTAGGAACTGAAGCTCAAGCTGACAACCGCTCCAGTGTTGACTATTCCGTCTCGACTCGGAGGGTTTGAAGTTTACAGCGATGCTTCGCTAAGAGGACTCGGTTGTGTACTAATGTAGCACGGAAAAGTAGTCGCGTATGCGTCGCGCCAATTAAGGCCACATGAACTGAATTACCCGATGCACGACTTGGAGCTGGCTGCGATTGTGTTTGCACTCAGGATCTGGAGGCACTATTTGTGCGGGGAAAAGTTCCAAATTTATACGGATCATCAGAGCCTCAAGTACTTATTTTCGCAGAAGGAATTGAACATGAGGCAGCGCAGATGGATGGAACTGCTGAAGGACTACGACTGCGATATTATGTATCACCCGGGGAAGGCGAATCGAGTCGCCAATGCGCTGAGTCGTAAATCAAGTATGGCGCACGTAATGATCAAGGAATGGACCTTACTTGAGAGGCTTAGAGATTCAGAGTTCAAGTTTGAAGTGAGCCACGTATCGAACTTGTTAGCTGCTTTGAGAATAGAACCGGAGATTCAGACCAAGATCCGAGAATTGCAGTATACGGATCCAGAGATTCAGAAGATGATTGAGATGGACGTCGCCAAGAGGAAGTCGGACTATCAGGTGTCCGAGGATGGAGTTTTGAAGTTCCGTGGGCGACTATGTGTACCTGATAATTTGGAGCTCAAGGAAGAAATTCTAAGTGAAGCACACCGCAGTAATTATAGCATCCACCCGGGCAGCACTAAGATGTACCAGAACCTTCGACAGCACTTTTGGTGGAATGGAATGAAGGTTGATGTGGCCAAGCATGTGGCCAAGTGTTTGACGTGCCAACAAGTGAAGGCACAACATTGTAAGCCCGGAGGACTACTGCGACCATTAGAGATGCCTTAATGGAAGTGGGAGCATATCACTATGGATTTCGTAACGGGACTACCGAGAAGCCAGAGAGGACACGATTCCATATGGGTGATAGTGGATCGACTTACTAAATCAGCGCACTTCCTAGCAGTGCGAAAAGATTTCGAATTGGAAAGATACGCCGAACTATATGTGCGACAGATCGTTCGTCTGCATGGAGTACCGGTGACGATCACTTCGGACCGCGATCCGAGGTTCACAGCCAACTTCTGGAAGAGTTTACAGTCGGCCTTGGGAACGAAAGTACAATTCAGTACGGCTTACCATCCGCAGACAGATGGCCAATCTGAAAGGACAATTCAGACACTTGAGGACATGTTAAGAGCATGCGTATTGGATTTTCAAGGCAAGTGGGAAGAACAGTTGTATTTGGTAGAGTTCGCCTATAATAACAGCTACCAGCAGAGTATCCAGATGGCACCATTCGAGGCCTTGTATGATAGAGCATGCAGGACACCAGTGTGCTGGGACGAAGTAGGTGAACGAAGTATTACTGGCCCAGAGTTGGTACAGCAAACAGTGGAAGCTGTTGAAATCATTCGAGAAAGGCTGAAAACAGCCTAAAGTCGCCAGAAAAGCTACGCCGATCGGAGACGACGACCTTTGAAATTTAAAGTCGGAGATCATGTATTCCTTAAGGTGTCGCCAATGAAAGGGGTATCCCGATTTGGTAAGAAAGGAAAGCTGAGTCCAAGGTTTGTCGGACTGTTTGAAATTTTGGAAAAGATTGGAGATATGACGTACCGACTCGCCTTGCCACCTAACTTATCCCAGGTACACAATGTTTTCCACGTGTCGATGTTGAGAAAGTATGAACCAGACCCGACCCATGTTCTAAGGTATGAAGAGATAGGCATGGATGACAGAGTGTCATACGTAGAGAGGCCAGTACGAATTGAGGACAAAAAGGATCGCGTGCTGAGGAACAAAACGATTCAAATGGTCAAGGTTGTATGGGAGCATCATGGAACAGAAGGCGCCACATGGGAAGGTGAAGAGGCCATGCGACGTCAGCACCCCTACTTGTTTGAGGAGTAAGTGGAGATTGCAAATTTTGAGGACGAAATTTTTGTAAGGGGGGAAGAGTTGTAACATCCCGAATTTCGACCCGTTTCCGGGACCAATAAAGTGTATATTATTTCTCGTTTAATTTTAGTAAGTCTCGCCCAGAGCTGATCACTCATGGGATACTAACCCAATGGGAATGGCTAAATAGGAAAAACAGTACGTGGACCGGGGACCCGATCGCGAATTGGGCACCAATTTCGAGAAACGTCGAGGAAATATTTTGGGCCAATATGGGCCGATCTTAGGAAAGTGACGGATTCGATTTAGCCAATGAAGTACGATCGGATCGCGGGTGATTCCACACGACCGAGAGTACACGTGGCGAACGAATCCCGAATTTAATCCAAACGATCGCGACCTCCGGCACTAGTGATAATTCCTCGCATTCTTCCGAAAATCGAGGCCATCACGATTCGGACAACCCTAGGTCGATACGCGTAACCCCTGAACAGCCACCCGTTAGTGAGAGGCCCTAAAATTTCGAAATGAGCAAAATTGATCGCGAAAATTGGACCCGAACTTCGATGTCGAAATTTCGTGGACATTTGCGACTATTTTTCATGGCCGATGCCATTTTAGGGTGGCTACACATATTTGGAGTGTGTACGGTCGAAAAATGGAAATTCGACCCGAAAGTGAAAAATTACCATTTTGACCCTCAAGACTTTGAAGCCGATTTTCGAGGGCGTAAGTGACTATTTTGCGTGACCGACACCATTTCTGAGTGGCCACGTATATTTGGGATTGGTATGGACAAAAATTGGAATTTCGATCCGAAATTGGAAAATTACCAAAATGCCCCTATGCCTATTTTAGTTATTCCGAATTTTGGGCCTAATTTTGGAATTAAATTAAGGTTTTAATTATATTATTATGGTCAGCCCAATTATTGAACCAAATGCCCCCTTTACCCCTCTATTATTGGATGAGGATGAATGTCAACCCTTGGATCAAGGGGTAGGATGGACATGTGGGCTAGATGGGTGACACTTGGATTCCACCCAAGACCACTTTGACCACCTTGGACCCCCTTGGACCAGCCATTCTCTCCCGTTCTCTCCCTCCACGCCGTTTCCTCCTCCTCCGTTTCCTTCGTTGCCACCGTGAAGGCCGTCCGCCGGAGCGCCGCCGCACGCCGTCCAGCCGTGCCGCTGTGCTAGCCTCACCATCTCAGTTTCCCTCTCTTTCTCTCCTCCCTCAGACCGCCGATCAGCCCCGGCCGTGAGGGACACCGCCGGACCGCCGCCGTCCGTACGCCGCGCCGCCGTCCGTACTGTTGGAACGTCGCCGCCGATTCCGCCGTCTACCGGCGATTGGCCGCTCGTTCCCGTCGACTCGAATCGGTTTAGGCGAGTATTAAATCCCTAAATCCAAATTAGTTTAATTTGCACTTTAAATGGGTGAATTAGGGTTTAATTACAGGATGATTTAGATGTGATTTAATGCCCAAATGTGGGCTGTCCTGGTACTGTTCACACCAGAACCGAATTTGGATTAAAATTGTCTAAGTTGGGATTAATTGGATTCTTATTGTGGTTGCTTAGTTTGGGTGATCCAATGGCTAAATGGGACTTGTTTGGGTTAAATTGTGTGAATCCCTGTTGTTGGCATAGTAGCCGAAATTGATTGGTTTAATGGCGGATTTGAATTATATAAATTGGTCTCGGGTTTAAACCATGTATTGAATGCCGAGTTTCAATAAGCTAAAACGGAATGAATTGGGCGTGCCGACAATGTATTGAATTGGTCGAATTATGACGAATTATACTTGGGCACATATGGTGTTAGTGAATTGTATGTTCATGATTGACTTGAATGCCATTATATGTGATTTCGCATAATGTGTTTTGATATGGCTGGAATTGTGAGTGCGAAAGTGCACGTACCTGATGTGGATATATTTGTTGGCCTTCGGGTCGTGGCCTTCGGGTCGATATATTTGTTGGCCTTCGGGTCGTGGCCTTCGGGTCGATATATTTGTTGGCCTTCGGGTCGGAATAATTGTTTTATTCATGAGAATAGCAATTGTGTGCCGAGTATGTTAGCCATGTGCATGTTCAGTGAATTGCACGTGAATATTGTTAGAAAATGTCTAACCTGCAGGGTCATAGTATGAATGATCTGGGCCACGAGCCCATGCCAATTATTGTGATGTTTATGCTATACTATTATGCGTGTTTAATTCGCCTGTCAGGAGGTGCATGTTAGCCTGGTTTAGGTTTAGGGGTTATTTACTTGCCTATTCGTCTCACGGTTGTTGGAAACCGATATTTCAGACCCCCGGCAGTGAGGATGGCAGAACCGCTTGTACGTTTTGGGATTCCCCACTTCATCGAGAAGACTTTTTCCGTTCATCCCGTAGGAGAGGGGAATATGTATATTAGATACTATACTTTAGTATGGGTAGATGTTGGGGAGTTAGAGTCTGCGATCCATGAGTATGTGGCATGGTGTGATAGGACGTATAATGGGGAGGAGACCGGACCCCTTCGGACTTTCGATATCCCGTTTAACGGGAAAGGTGAGATTGATCCCTAGTGTCCCAATGGGGATATAGTAGACCCCGCCACTTCAGTCGACGAGGGTGTGAGCTCCGATGGCGTTCCTATGGAGTACGAGATCGATGAGGTCGAGCCGATAGACATGGAGCCGGATGATGATGAGTTGGTATGGAGCTGGAGGAGGACCCCGAGTGTAACACCCCGGGTCTACGCTGTATAATATTGTCCGCTTTGGGCCCACCGACCTCACGCTTTAAAACGCGTTACGCAGATAGGCCACCCAAGCCTTATAAGCAATCCCAGTGACTTCCCTAGACGATGGACAAGAGACATGCCCCGCCATCCTGTGAAGCCTCCGCCAGAGCTCGCCCTTGTCCAGCCTCTCCGCCCCGGCGACCACTCGCCCTGTCGGACCGGGTCGTTACATTCTCCCTCCTTCGAGCACAGCATCCCGCCGTGGCCCCACACGCGGCCGGAGTCGGCTCTGATACCATTTGTAACACCCCGGGTCTACGCTGTGTAATATTGTCCGCTTTGGGCCCACTGACCCTCACGGCTTTAAAACGCGTTACACAGGATAGGCCACCCAAGCCTTATAAGCAATCCCAGGACTCCCCCCTAGGCGATGTGGGACAAGAGACATGCCCCCTTGCCATCCTAGAAGCCTGCCAGGAGCCGCTCCTTGTCCAGGCCCTCTGGCCCCGGCGACCACTCCCCGCCCTCGTTGGACCGGGTCGTTACACCGAGCCCGAGGCGATGGATGCAGAGGATGAGCCCGAGGAGGCTGAGTCCGAGTTAGACTCGTTAGATTCTGATGAGGAGCTGCCAGATAGTTCTTCTTCATCAGAGTCTTCTGGTTCTGATCCGGACTGGGTCCCCTAGGTTGATCTTAGCCTTAGATGGAACGGCTGCACCTTTTTGACTGAAGCCGTCTTAGCTCAGCAACCTTTGGCCACTGACCCCTTTTTGACCTTAGTGGCCGTTGTTCATTTTTTGTGGTAGTCTGTACTCCCGATAAATGGATATTGTATCTACTTTTGATAGTAATGAAATGTATATGTTTTTAATCATAACGATCTCTCGTGTTGTGCTATCCTTGGTTATCTTATTTATTGTACGGGTGTATATATGTATTTATATATGTTGCTTCCGCATGTGTATTGATCTGTCACGCCCCGTACCCCACGAAGCATGAGCATCCCGCTTATAGGTCGAAATAGTAGTGCGACGCTCCCAGGCTACGTCACCGACCCGAAACCCAAATCAGAGAAAACACGCCTCATGCGGAAACGACGTATATATAATAAATGTATATATACACCCAGACAATTTAAAAGCAACCAAGAGTGGCAAGAGAAAACAAATTACGATCGATTAAACCCCCATATACATTATCCATTTATGAACAAAAAGGTACATCAAAAAGGCCACGAAAAAAAAGGGATCGGTGACCTAGGGGTGTCAAACTAACTACCGGAGGGGTACGGTCAAAAAGTGTCGACCCTCACTCCTATACTGATATCTAACCTACGGTACCCAGTCAGGATCAGAACCCGACGACTCCGAAGAACTCTCGAATCGCTCTTGATCCTCCTCAGAA